TGTGACATTTGATCAGATTCTCCAATTCTCCATACACACTGTTTTTTCAGCATGCTGGGTGGTGGTTTTGCTTGTGGCCGGCTGGCGGCTGGTTGAATTCCAAACCCAACGACAAGTTTCGGGTCCCTTTTTGGCACATCGACAGTTTCAGATTTGGCAGTCTTAGTATGCAAAAGAAGGTCTCTTTCTTTTTTGAAGAACTCCTTATGTATAATGTTTAAATATTGGTCTTGGCTATTTTCTTCGTGACGTCCAAGGTGAACGACGCACTGGATCTTGACCCGCAGGAGCAGTGCCAAAGCCCCTCGCTTGGCGCCTGGAGCAGTGCCACTGCCAGCAACAGTCAGCTTGCAAACCGATTTGGAAGTGTTTTCATCCACAAAGTGCCTGACCTTTTCCAAGGTGTGGTCAGACCAAGGTCACAATTCATCTTGCTTGTGACGGTCATGACTTCACCGTCTCTACCTGAGTGCTTGGCGTTTTCATTGCTTCTCAGGCCTCCAACGCAGCGGGAACCGGTGCTGCAGAGGTCACCGACGGCAGTGGAGACGGGACCGACGGGACCGACGGGACCGACGGGACCGACGGGACCGACGGGACCGACGGGACCGGGACCGGTCCGGGACGTGGCGTCAACGATCCTTTTGGAGCACCCGGATCCTGGCAAAAACGAGTGGTCCAATTCAGAAGCTGCATTTAGTTCGGGCTGGTTTCTATTCATGTCAAGAGAGATGCACCAAGAACGGGGGTTGGTAGGTCTTCAGCCCGGGGGGTTGCCAGTCCCGTTTCACTCCTGAGGCTGACTTCACACACCATGACGGAGCTGGAGCCTTTTGGCTTCTACGGTGTGGCCCCTGCAAGGACGCGAAGATTTCCTGTGGAGACTGGAGGCAAAACGTGGAAATTACTGTATCCGAGTTTATTGAGGAGGTAACATGTATCAACTGTATGAACTACATGAACTACTATCAACTTAAAACTTGATACATATTTGAATGTATTTTTGTGGTCTTGAGGATACAAATGATGCAGAGTATGTGACTGGACGTCAGCTCAACAATAGAGAATTTGATATAGTGACGGAAAAAAAAACTTTTCCAGAATCCAAACCCTTCACTTAGAACCAAAAGTTCTGCTTGCAACAGTCCAGGCTTAGAACATTGCCATGTTCTTAGTCTTTGTGTTAGAACATGCTTAATCCCCGTGTCTTGTCACATCTACATCACTCAGAATATCATGCTTAGAACTTAGAACACACACAATGACAGGAGAAGCCCACACCCAAACTCTTTGATCTGCTCTGGTCGCGTCATTCCGATTGTCAAGGCTACTTCCTGCAAACCCCTTGCAGCCGAGAGTCTGCATACAAGCGCATCTCCTCCACAGAGTTTATTCATCACCTGTGCATTCTCTCATGTTCATATCCCTTAAACATGAGGATGTTCCAAGAAAGGACAATTTTCCCCAATGTTCCAACTCTTTACGTAGAACGTTGCATTGATACAATGTTCTTAGCCTTACGCTTAGAATATCCCTTACCAGGGCAATTTTTGAAAAGAAGGTGTTTCCAAACGATGTTCTAAGTGGTTGTCCGTCGCTAAAATCCGAATCAGATCTAAATATCGACAAAGGATCAAAGGGGCTCGATGGATGGCGACACTTCACGAGTATTGAGGTCATCTCACTTCTTTTGATTTGCAGCCACTCACACCAGAACAGGCGGGGCAAAGGCATGATTCTTACGTTTTGTGACATGTTGGCACTGTGGGGCTTTGATGGAGAAACTGTTCCTTTCTTGTTACTAGTAGTAAGGCCAGGAGCCCCTAGTAGCGTCCTTGTTACTAGTAGCAATGCCTTACTAGCATTAACATGTTTTCTCTTCTTGAATTTCATGGTTCATGTCTACCCAATAGCTTTGCTTGGTCAGATGCATCTTGGCTGCCTACATACAAGACTTGACACTTCTGCAGCGGTCAAAGGTGACCGGTGACCGCCGGCCGCAGCTTGCTCGAACCATTCAGCATGTCACGGACGTCCTGTCTAGGCTCTTTCATCCAACATGTCCAGGGACCAGCCCTCGTAAAACCCCCGCATTTGGTTCGTTGATCGAAGCACGAGAGCAGCTGACGATTTGTCTGACCCACCGACCTCGCACATGCCGTTTGGTCGACTGAAGCATGGACAAAAGACAAGACATGGACAAAGCTCAAACCCTGCAGGATCCAATATTTCTCCCAAAATTGGAACGAACCTGCCACCGAACCTGGTTGGCTGAGACCGCATCCTTGGGTCCTCGACCGTGCAGGACTGGGGGTGATGAAATCGTCTTGAATGGCGGGAAGCATCAGACAGCCATTCGTTTTCGATTTTCTGATCGCCACAGTGTTTGGTATTTCATGAGTATAAAGAAATGCAGAGGTGGTGGACATGTTATGCATTTATATGCGTTCTGCCATATGGCATACATCATGCAGCATTCTCCCTCTCCACACTTTGATGGACCGATGGGTGGATGGGCTTTCAGTTGGAGCTGACTGCTCGTCATCTTCATGATGAAAAGTAGGAGCTGACTGCCGACCACAGTGGTTTCGCCTTTGGACATCTGTTCTTGAGTGACGGACAACGCATCCCATTCTTTCGACGCCTTTTCCCGACCGCGAGGCAATGGCACGATGTTCGCTGGACCACAAAAGCAAGTCCTGCGAGCAGGTGACCGTGTCCGTGGCCTCCTGAGGGCAGTGCCGAGTCATTCGTTTTTAAGGCAGAGGGGAGTGGGTAGTCCGTGGTGGGCTTAAGTAGCCTAGTAGTAAGGGGATGTAAGGGGTAAGTAGAAGATCTCAGGCTTACTGTCATGATTTGGTTCCTGAATTTTTTGAGAAACTCAACGACCAAAGGCTGGCTGTACAAGTTACTTTGTGCAAATTGAAAACGATGAAGGGGCTTTTCAAGGGTTTCAAGTTTGATTCATTTGCTCAGATTCTTAGGTGCACACTTCCAGAACCGCTATGGATCGAAGAGCTCAGGCTTTGTGAAACTCAGTGACCAACAGTGGGGGCAAGACCATTTGGTTGATACTGAGGACTTCTGCGACAGAGGGACATTTTCGGTGGACACCCATCCGTAAGAAAAGAACCAAGAGCATCCAAGAGCCTCTTTCCGAAGCTTGCTGTGCTGTAAAGGCCATTTTCTCAGGACGGTGGATGGTGACCAACTTCCTCACGTGGGTGTGTAATGTAATGTGTTAAGGTGTTTGCTGTGAAAACTCCGGTCGATGCACTCCGGTGTGCTGCAACAATCGACCTGCCCAGCTACGGATGTGGGCACTTTGCTGCAGTTCACCACTTCGGAGGTTGAGGCAGGGGTGATGGGTCGGGAGGAACAGGTTTGGTGGATTTGAGTTGTATGCATACATTCAAGCATGATGTTTGAACACATCGGGTGGATGAACGAAGAAACCTGGTGGTGGGAATGTCCGAAACAGACAAGAGACATGTTTGGTCACATCTTTTCATGTGTCGAGTGTCTGTGGCTGGCCCTGGCCAGGGCATGTCATGTTCGCTCACTAAAGCTGATTCGATTGGATCAATCCGGCCTCAGATTCACTTCGATGACGGTGCCGTCCAGTGCGTGTCTAAGGCCATGTTTGGGACCCGGTTGGAAGCCAGGGAGGAAGGCATGTTGTTTGGAGCAGACATGGGCCTGGCAAGAGAGTCTCTTATTTAGCCACATTTTGGATTCTTGGACCTTTCTGTTTCCTAGTTTCTGACAGATTGAATCAGGATGGGCAGGAGTTCGCTCTCTTTTCCCTGTGGCAAAAATCACTCAAGTTGATCAGGGAAAAGCCAAAGATGGGGAACAGAGACCAAAACTACTGGAATCGCCGTGGAAGGCTCTAGACGCCTCGGCCACGAGCCGAGAGGTCGTGAGACCGCCGCTCCGATCGTTTCTCCCGAGCGACGATCCGACCGACAGACCTGGATCGTGGAACGACTGGCTGCTTGGGATTTGGATTTGGCGCTTGAAGCTCAGAAGTCTGATGACGGATGTCTTTGTTTTCTTCCTTCACATTCCTTCAGGGGGAAATTCGACCGACTTCAGCTTGGAGGATCGAAGATCGAAGATCGATCGAAGACGGTCGAGGCCCGGAGACATTGTCTATGCACACTACGCCTCCGGGAAGGCGCCGATCGCCCGCGTGAACGAACGCGACCGGTGCACGCGACCTCTCCAAGGGCGTCCAAAGCGAGAAGCGAAGCAATTCCTGAGGAATGGTTGAGGTTATGAAATGGGATGAACAAGCAGACATGGGAAGCGTTTGGTCATTTTTGGTGCTTTTGCGTTTCGACCAGGTGTCACATCACTCTAAGTCTATCGAAGTGTGGCTTTCAGTTGGGCTGGATGGAATCAGTGGAGCATGTCTGGGACTATGACCACTCCTAGCGCTTGTAGTATCGTTGGATCGGGCGAGTTTGTACTTTAAGAGTAGCTTAATTTGGGAGTAGCGTCCTTGCTCCTAGTAGCGATGCCCTTTGTTCCTAGTAGCTTCTTGCTCCTAGTAAGGCCAGGAGCGCCCCGTTCGTAGCGTCCGATCGCCACTTCGGTCGTCAGTCCCGCCAGGGCCGGACGGCGAACACCGACCTCGGCATCGTAGTCGCTGTCTTGGATGGCGGCCGAGTTCGCATCAGGTGGGAAGCATGTGAGCATGTAAGGATATGCAAAGATATGTAAGGTGTTTGGGCCAAGGGTTCTTTGCAGGCCAAGCTGGATCAACTGCCACGAATCCATCATCCAACTACTCATTATTAATGCATATAACTAGCTTGATGATTTCAGTCTGGGATCGCAATCTGTGTGCCTTTGGTTCCTATTTGGGGACCATGAGGAGTTTAACACCGGAATGTGCCAGAGTCTGCAAAGTAAAGGAAGTACGTGAAGAACGTTATGGGCGAAAGAGCATCGACGCTGGCAGGTTTCAGGATCAGATCATCCAGACGGTCCCTATGGGATGGGTGCGGCACAGAGTGGTCACGCCCATTTTCAGGTCAACTTGACGTCCTGAATGATCGAACATGAAAACATCACGTGACTCCCCTTTGACATGCTTTGGGCATCTTTGGGCGGTCTTCTACGTTCGGTGCCATCGTCCAAACGTCCGAAGGCCGCCTACGAACGCCATCTCATGACTCTGTCCTCCCAGGTGGACCAGGTGATGCGCCTGGAGCCCGGTGATCGGGTCAATGCCTTCTTCAAGGTCAACGACGGGAGGCTCCGCCTTTGGAAGAACGGCCTCCCTTTTGACTTCGAAACGCGGCTGGAAGAACTAGAGCACAGTGATCGGTTGTGGCATCGGCCGGGGGTCACCGTAGTGGTGACCAGATTCTCCAGTAAAAGCTGCTGTCAAGGGTGGAACGGGACCAGGAATGGCCAGAGGGTCTGACGCACCCAGACGTTGGTGGTATCTACTGTAACATCTTCTAACAGCATCAGAATCTATCATATTTCTTTATTTCTTTTTCTGTCAAAACCTAAACGTATGCTATAGCTGTCTACAGCGAGCGGCTCGTCGCCTCAGGGGCGCTAAGAGTGTCAAGACGGACACTGGGTCAGTGCTGGCAGTCACCAAAGAAGATGTGTATGTAGGCCAGCTGCGCCACCGGACTGGGTTCCAGGCATAAGCATAAGCATGGCTGACCCCCAAAATGGGCATTTTCCTCTTAGGCTGAAGAGCTGAACCTGACGATCAAGAAGCATCGAATTCTTGTCCAAAGTTCCCTGATACAAGGACATAAAAGAAGAGCACTGGAGTTCCCCAGATCACAGAAAGAGCCGACTGTGCATGGCCATGAGTCTCTCGTTGATGTGAGTGGCCAGTAATCAGCCCACTCGCAGTCTTTGATGACAACGTCGAGCAGAATGTGCCAAAGACTTGGGCGCGAAGCCCAGGGATGGCTGGGTCTGACGTTGAAAAACTAACGATGGATTGAGAGTAGTTTGCCCTTCAAGCCTTCAAGTATAGCAATGATGTGATGTAGAATCGTGATATCACTGAGATGCCAGACTGGAGAGCGCAAGCATTACAGACGAGAGACGGCATCCAACATCCAACAAGATTTGGAAGACACCGATTCTCCACCTGGTCCCAACCTTGTCACCGACCTTGCTGGGTGGGTGTTGACCCTTCGCTCTTCCCGAGGTCTGTCATCGCACCAAACCTTGGAGCATCCAACTGGAGGTCGGCAGTGTGGCTGACGTGCATTTCGAGGCGGGCACCGGAGCCAGGGAGGAGATGTTGGCGGAGAAAACACATGAAAACACACATTGGAAGCAACTTGGGGGGGGTGTGTTCCGTCACTTTTTTTTGGATGTTTTTTTTCTTCCCCGGCCAATTCAATTCACTGCTTGACGCCTTCGTTCGCAATTCAGTCGCTGGCTGACGTCCCACTCTGGTCATCTCTGGTCAGGCACCAATGACGGCCTATCCTTGGGCTGCAGGGGGGAAATCGTTGACTGTTGGGCTGGGGCTCATTTTACTTTACCTTTTTTTTTTCCTCTCCTCTCTCTCTCTCTCTTACTTAGAAATCAAGTGGCTGGCCACGGCAAGTCGGTGGCCACACCCAGCAGCTGTCTTCCTAGGTTGTCCCGAGTGTTGTCTCTTTGTGTCCGCACCTGTTCTCGCTTTGCTGGAGTGCTGATGACAGGACCCAAATTGTTTGCCGTTCACGACAGCAGTTCTTGCTGATGAAGCTGTTGCTGGTATATCGCTTTTTCCATGAATGATATGAATCCATCGATCTATGCATTTCTTTTCGTTTGGTACGAAACGATTCTCTTCCATGCACTGAGCACTGCTATGACGTGATCAGCTGATTGGTAGCTTCTTACTTCTAGTAGCTTCTTGTTACTTGCAGCAATGCCAGGAGCTACTAGTAGCTTCTTGCTCCTAGTAGCGATGCCCTTTGTACTACTAGCTTCAGCAGGGTGTGCATGGTTCTGATTTGGTCAGGTTGGAGATGATGGCCGAAGGAGCACCAGCACAGACATTGGCATTATCCTCTCCGAGCCCATGGATGGCCGGGTACAGGTTCAATTCCAGGACAGAGAAGACGCATATCCTACTTGTTACTAATAGCGATGCACTTGTTACTAGTAGCTTCTTGTTACTACTTGTTACTAGTAGCGATGCACTTGTTACTTGTCCCACCAGTTGTGCGAAACCCCTGCAAAAACTGGTGACACGGGAACATCTTAGGGTACGCAGGCTGCCTCCTCCTGTATGTTGTTTTTTTTTGCGCCATTGCTTCTTTGAATTAGCGGGTAGAGCAAGGTCAGATCGCGTTCTCTCTTCCCCTCGTAGCTTCGGATCTTCTGTGCCTGCCGTGATTTTTCGGGCTAGGCCTACAGCTATCATAGACCCTATCTCAGGGCCAGGGGGGGGGTCTGGAACCCCTGGCGGCCTGATGGGCCCATCCCAGCCCCTATCATAGGCCAACGCCCCCTGCGCGACATCAGCTGTGTCTCGCCGGTTCTATCGATCCTCCGAACAGGACACCATCCAGCAGACGGTGCCCTTGGGCTGGATCGTGCGCCTCCGCGAGTGGGCCGTCGGTGACCGCGTCCAGGCCTGGTTCGACCGGCTGAGCCGTTCGCGTCGGGTGAAAGAATGACATGTTTTGAACATCGTTTTGGATTGCATGGCGTAGCATGCAAGTTGCCATGCATCATGGCGCACTCGAAGTTGCCCTTCTCAAATCGATCCTTTTTTTTTGGGTGAAAAACCACCACTGCCTTCAGGCAGATCTTGTCAACTTATCTTTTGGCCTGTGGTTTTGGTTGGCACCCAAGTTGCCCCACTTCTGTTTCAACAGTGAAATGGAAGAGGATGTTGGCCACCGTATGGATCCCAGTTTCGTTTCCTCTCTGACAAAGACCAGACAGTTCAAAGGCACGGAAGTCTTGCCTGGTAGAAATTTATGAATCTTGCCAATCTTGCAACTAAACGCAAGAGGTCTTTGAAGAGTTTGGAATTGGATGGAACCCAATAGGGAGCCGAGCGGGCACCTGCGCTAGGCGCACTTCAAGACCGGGGGAGGTGAGAAGAGCACCGACACGGATGTGGCCACAGTGATGAGCTCATCTCTTTTGGAGGCGACGAGAGGATGGTGCGATGGTCAAAGCCTGGATGAGAGTCTTGGAGGGGTGGGGTGATGAGGTTTGTTGGAGGTTAGGACGTTATGCAGTGATGCAGTATTTGGATGCGGAGGGGTTGGCCAGGGATGTTGGCCCACACTCTCCCTGTCTTCGTTTCCATGCTCTTTGGTTTGGAAGGATCTCAAAAAATCGCTTGGCTGAAGTCAGGTGGAGCTCTACTTTGATGATGGCATCCAGCAGCATGTGTCCAAGGTCCGCTGATAGGTTTAAAGAACATTAATTATATATTGGCGCCATTTGTCGCAGATGAGGAAACTGTTCCTTCACAACCTTGCCTCAGCATACGGCATACGGCAATTGGTTTCCTTCTGTTTCGCATTTTGCTCTCCGGATCACATCGGATGAACAAGTTACTACGTTCCCGACCATGGAGTAACCTGAAGGCACCTTGCTCTCATTTCCTCCAGATCCCCCAAGCAGTGGAAGAATCCAGAGAGGGCTGAAGGGCTGAATTTCGGAATGTTGTACAGGCGCTTTGGGTGTTCCAACCAAAGCGCCGTTCCAAGCCACAGACCCCTTAAGCTTTGCAGCTTTGCATAAAGCTGCTCAACTTCCTGCTGTGGATTGGAGGGAACACCAATCGATCAATGTAGGAGAGTAAGACAAGGTATTTGGCATTGCACCTAGGCACCCGTCAAGCTTCCTGGTATATCGGAACTCCTCGCTTGCCAGAACCTCCGTTGCGCATGAAGCGTGCCGCACGTGCCGCAGGAACTGATTGAAACCTTTTGAAACTAGGTTAGCGTGCTATCTCAGGTTACGGCGTAGGAACGGGAATCCATTGAGCCCACATCAGTGAACTCCAAAACACCCACGCGCAGGCTTGGGTCACTGAGCGAATCCGGGACTGGCATGCGGAGGCCTTCCACCGCTGTGGGGAGGGGTCCCCTGAAATGCCCAAGCTTTGCACATCTTTTTCATCTTCCAGGCGGCCACATGAGGCATGCCTTTTTCACCCCTCCCTGCTATCCCCCCTATCGCAAGGGTGAAAAGGGTCACGCCCTGGTAGGCAGAGAAAACAAGAACAAACAAACCCTTGGTAGCCGAACAAGCAAAACTATTTTCATTGTTTGAGCACGTTTTTGATAATTTTATCCAATGGCATGGGAAAAACGCTGGAAGAGCTCGACTGGCAATCTTTTTTTGGCCAGGTTTCAGAGCTTGCGCCGGGCGACGTGGTCATCGCCCACTTTAAGCGGCCGGGGAACCAGCGGCGGCCTTGGCGGGCCGTGGTTTCGTCCACGGACGCATGCGGCGGGTGGCTGTGCCCCCCGTGTTTTTCTTTCAATGCTGGAAACACAGGACACTGTGGCATGTGGGATGCATGTGGACCTCCGCAAACCTCGCACAGCCAGCAATCCACAGCCAACAGTGCAGATTGGACTCATCTCACCTGCGACACAGGGCCTTCTGTGGCGTGTCGCGCTCGTGTGGCGCGCTCGTGTCGCCCAGTTGCCGCAGTGTCCAGACGGACCGTGGCATCGTGGTCTCGATCCTGCCTCGTGGGGAGGCGCGGCGGTGGGGCCAGGGCGACGACGGCGACGTGTTTCAGTGCTGTTCCTAGACACCGGTCAACCCCTAGGTGACAGAATCGCAGATGTTTGATGATTTATATATCTCTCTTTTTGCGTGCCACCCTTTGACACCCTTTGTAGGATTAGACGGCGTTACGTGTTTGGAAAAAGAACTGGGGGCCATCCTCAGAGCACTGCTTTTGCGTGTTCATGCTTGACCGGGAAAGGCGACAGGTATGTAAGCCATTGAGAGGTCAGATGCTGAGACGATCGGAGTGGACCTCCATTGATTGGTCAAGCAAAGTACTTATTTGGTGAATCGAACCTCACGAGTGGTTGAAGATGGGTTGGCACGTGGATACAAGAAACACCAGAAAATTATCTCGTTTCTTTTTCCATGCTGGAGAAGAGGCCTCGTAGTTTTGTGGAGTTACAAAAGCTCACCAAAGGGACCAAGCAAATTCATGCTGAACTTCATGAAAAAGGGGTAGAGCAGGCAGCTCAGACCAACGTCCTCTTGAAACATATTTGGCCTACCAGTCCACCTGTATTCTCTTGCCATCCTGCTGGATCCATCGGTAGACCCCGACCCCCTCCGGACAGGTCTCAGTGACGTTCCAAGATGACATCACTCAAGTGGTGCCCAAAGGCTGGATACAGGCGCTGGAGCCGTTCCCCTTTGGGCGGGAGCTGACTTCCCCACACGAAGAGAAAGCTCCAGGGTTCTGTGTTTTTCTCTTTTTCATAGCAGTGGTATGCGGTGGAGCGGTTGCAAGCGCCGGTTTGAGATGTTGAGCCGAAAAGCCCGAACTGGCAGGCTGTGGCCACTCGTTGGACCGGGCAAAGGGACGAGTTTGCCAAGGACAAGGCAATTCGGAGCTGAGATTTGAGCTTTCCACATTTGCAGTTGGTGGTCCCTTAGCAAAATACCTCGAACCAATGAGTTGAGATACAGATGCTTGTTTAAAAAACAACCGGTGGTGCCACGTGGTGCTCTCTAGTTTGAGACCCAATCGACCCAACCAGTCGAGGCCGAAATCGTGGCGTTCGAGTCCAAGCGCCTGTCCCGAGCGGAGCCTCAGAGCGCGGCGAGAACCGAGACGAAGCGAGAAAGAGGTGGAGCAGCGGAGCATCCCCCGTTTTGGGCTGAGCAGGGTGGGTCCACGAACCGTGTGCAGGATGATCTCTTCAAGGTTCATGTTGAAGTCATCCCAGACGCGGTGGAGGTGTTTTGGGAACAAGCCCGAGATTTGCTGTCAGCCATCACATGTGGGGGTATCACGGTGTATCAGAGAGGATTCAGAGCATTTGGGGTGTCACTTTCTTGCTTTTATATTTTTAAAAAAATTTCCCCCCACATCCGATCCGTATCGGTTCGCACTACCCAAGCATAGGTGTGCTTCCAGTGGTGATTTTCTGTCCGCAAATTGGGTTCTGCAAGACTTTTTTTCATGGCGTTCTGCTCACTTTCTCAAAGCAAACCAGTCAATCTGTCAGAAGTTGCCGCTATTTCCTGCGAGGTTAGTTTTCATCGGCCAATCTTTTTGGAGACAGTATATATATATTATATATAAGTATACTATGAGTTCTTTTTGGTGCATGTCCAAATGTGCTTTGCGTCCAGAGCTGCTTGCAAGCCCATCACCTGCTCTAGGATCTACGCCTGCAACGAGTGGGCTGACGGAATGTGGCATGGATGCAGTAGTACCATGCAGTACCAAGGCATCAAGGGCATCCAACTCTGGACCTTTCCCCCCAACTCTGCTCCAGCTTTCTGTGCAGAAGGCTGGAATTTCCCTCCGCACACACGAAAAAACACACTTTCGCACTGGAACATGTGCCGCTGGAACTAGTATACAATGCGTGTTGGGGAACTGGCCAAGGTGGGTTTTGAGAGATTTTAGAGAGAATGCATGAGAACAGAATACCATGACTGCGCAGGGACTCACTGATGGCTTGATGTCAAAAGAAGCAGCTTCGGGTTTCTCCAAGGCGTCATTTGCATGGATGCTAAGTGCAGCTCTCAGCCCTCTCAGCCCTCTCAGCCCGCCTGTCCATGTCAAGATGCACACACACACATGAAGGTCCATTGGTTAGCTCAAGGGTTTGTACCCCGAAACAGGAACTTAAGTGACTCAAGGAATTTGCAGATATCATCCGACGTCACTCGGGCCCAGTCTGTCCATTCGACACCTGCATTGTCGAGTTATTGGAGCTTTCCACTTGAAGGGCCTCTGGGATGCCGAGGCCAAACGGCGTGATTGTGCACGGAGAGACGCAAGGGACTTGGAGTCTGATTTCAATCCCCAGGTCCGTCCCAGTGGATGCCAACACTCTGACACCTTTACTTTGCAGTTGAGCTCATGTTGTGTCACAAGGATCACAAGGTGTGCCTCGCACGGGAAAAGTAGATGTTCACGCTTTATCATGATGTAAGAGGGTCCGACAGATCTAGAGGCCAGAGGCCCTGAGTGTAAGAATCAGATTTGATTTCATCGCTGCGAGGTGCCACCAGAGCACTTGCTTCACCTGTGCCAAGCGCTTGCAGCGCGCGGGAGATTCCTGTCCCATCTGCCGGGCCAGGGGCCCGGTTGAGCCCGACGGGTGGATTGACAACGGACCTGAGTCACTCACTTTGCGAGGTGTGGCAGGGGTCTTGAGGGGTGGGTCACGGTAGGTTCAAGGTGAGAGTCTATGGCTTTTTGTGGAGGTCTATACCGCTGTGGGGGGTTTGAAGCTCACCGGAAGATCTCCAGATCTCCCGATCTTCTTGCGCCAGCGAGCCAACGCGGCGGCCGCCTCTGGCGCAGGAAGCCATCGACCAGGTCTGCAAGTTGCATGGCGATTGATCTTCCAGGAGCGCGTCGACCATACGTGGGGACCATCTTTATTCGTGGCATTTAGTTCAACTCTCCCGCTCAGATCTGTCTTGAGTCTTGAGACAAATCCATATGTTGCAGATGTGTGGGTCTAGGGGTTTCCAGAGGAGTTTCTGTATGTCCCTCCTTTCAGTTTAGGAATTTGCGTGCTGTCAATGGTTGGACCTCCCTTCATGTGACGCGAATTAGAAGACCAACCCAGGATCTTTTTTATCCTCTTGATTCGTGAAAAACCACCCACCCGCCACGTCGGCAGGATGGGCCTGGTCTCAGTGCCAAGCTTTGCAGACATCTCTCAACCTGAGCCGCAAAGGCAGAGGTCGGGCGCTTGGCCACACTTTGCTCCCATTCACCACATGGAAACTGTACTTATTCTCGAGTGGTCACATACTTTGCTTGATTGCAAGCGGAGCAGGGCGGCAGGACCCTCCTGAAAGGAGAGTCCTTCGGCTCCCTTGCCACGGCGAGGGCGGAAGATGAAGGCTTAGAGGAGCCTTGGCGGACATGGATGAGGAGCACAAATGCCATAGCGGACGCTTTGAAGCGATGGTCCGACAGTTGGTAGCTGGTTGATTAGACAAGTGTTGCCTTCGTTTTTCTTGTAAAGATGGCTCTACCAAGCTTTGGCATGGTGTGCTCAGAATCCCTTTTGGCGCAAAACATATGGGCTGTATCGTGAATTCTGCGAGTGCAGTCTGTGCGTTTTGGAATCTGACTCCATCAAAGCCAAGCCAGATTGCCAAGAATGCTCGAAGCGCTGAAAACAACAATGCTGCCTTGCATTGCTCCTCTCATGCGTGCTTTTAAGGTCGAATCAAGGTTTACTTACAAGGTTAGATAATGATATTTCACCAAGCTTCAGACAGCGGATGTTGGGAGTACAATTTCACATATGGAGAGCCCTTTCTGTTTCTTCATTTGGTGCTTGCGACTTGCAATTTTTTTAAACTCTATACAAGTTTCTTTGGCCGATCCCTCGATCGAAGGCCCGATATGCTAAAGACCGGCAGGCCGAGTCAATTCATCACGGACTTGGACAAGATTTTACGAAGTGGACATCTTAGCTGCCGAGACTGGAGTGGTTGCCAGACAGATCATTTAGGCTGATTCCTTCTGGGGAACAAGGTATACTTAAAAGCCTACCCAAGTGCTCCAATTCCTCCAGGTTCTGCCGATTGACGATGAAAGGCCCCGAGGATTATCGCACCATCAGGCACGTGCAAAGCTCTGGCACAGCATGGCAGTCCATCGTGTAGCCCAAATTGATGCAAAGACCATGGAAAGATTGTGGAAAGGCCGGCAGTCGCAGTAGCTCGTTGGCAGGCCTCGTGCGCCTGCAGACGCTCGTTTTGGTTGGGGAATGCCGCCAGGTTGGAGCCCAGCATCATCCAGTGTCAGCCAGCCGAGGTTGCTCGGGACAGAGTTCGGTAGGGAAGTGCAGAATTCTTTCGCTCTCAGGGTGATATGCAACACTTGAGGTATAAAAATGCAACCCCTGTGAGACACCAAGAGCCAAAGGGGCTGGGTCCGATTTGCCCAAATGCGAACGGGCGGGATTCTCTCTCTAAACATAAAAATATCCTCTCCAACATCTGTGGATGCCAACGGGTCCATGATGCTTGAAGCCATACATGCTGGCCGCTGGAAGGCATGGCATGCCGGCCGCTGGAAACCTCCCGTGGGCCAGACTTGGAGGCCTTGTGTGCCACCATGGAGCATTGGACACACTCCCTGTAGGCAGTGTGCAAACATATTCTCCAAAGCCACCTTTAGGCAGTGGCCGAGATGCCTTTCTCACCCAGTTCCCGGCGCTACCGGGTAGTTGCGTCCAGTTTTCAAAACGGCCCCCCATTGTTCTCTTCTCTTTCCCTTAAAGCCTTACAGTTTGGGCCTTCATCACGATAGCCTGGCAGCCTTCCCCAAACTCATGGTGTACGCGTAGCCCTACCAGACCATACCCGTCCGTGAGTGGCTTGCTGTTGCTCTACTGCCTGGATTGGATCCCTAGAACCACGCACGGACCAAAAGCGCTGCTTCACCGCGAACTGCGCCTGGCAGCTTCACCTTTGCCCTGGCAGTGGAGAAGTCAGCGAACTGCGCCTGGGCGGGCGTTTTTGGAGAAGGTGACATCAACGGACGGGAACACGCTGGGAGCCGGTAACAAAGGGATGGACCCTCATGGTTCGGCCTTTTTTTTGGGGGTGGCATGGTGCAGGTGTTCCTGGTTTGTGCTACTTTGCATGGTTTCTGGCGATGGTGCGATTGGTCTCGTTCCACTCGGGGATTGGTTTCGTCGTGCCTCTGTGGGAGTCGTAGCAAGCGGCTTCGGTCGATCTGTGGCCACCGTCCACCCACGCGGGTCACCGAGGCTTCGTCAACGTGGGGCTGGTGGAGTGGGTCGCTGCACGGAAGGCGGGTCGCGTGAACGGACCGAAGACCGGGGACCTGCGGGTCGTCGGACTCGAAAGGCTTTTTGGAGGCCGTGGGACGAAGAAGCCTCGTAGCTGTTTTTGGAGACACATCATTCAGCGATGGGAAATACAATGCCTTCAAGACATCTTCAGTGCGTCTTCGTTGGTATTCTTCAAACTGATCACCTCATGTGTTGCGCGAACATGTTCAGCCGCTCCAGGATTCTGCAGAGGCCAGCACCGCGCACGCAGCGCCCCCAGAGATTCGGCCAATGACTGAAGACACTAACTACCCAATGACACCCAGAACCTGTATGGTGCTCCCCAAATAGGATAGAAACGGTTTCCAATACATTTTTAGTGGGGATCTACTTTTCTATCTATTTGGAGGTCTATATCTACCACTCATTCATGATACCTCGGTGGCATCCCAGGGACCAAGGGAGTCAACCCACCAGCTTCTGCTTTTTGGGAGGCCACGTCGCCCAAGCAGAGCCTGGCTGAGATTTTGCAGGACGACCTGAGAAGTGTTTTTCTTCTTCTCATGTGGGAAAGCAGTTGAAATTAAAAGATATTAAAAGACAATCTTAGTTTCTAGAACAGCAAGTTGCAACAAGGGACCATGTGTCTTTTTGGGTTCATCCAGTTGTGGTTCCATTTTTTGGCGATCGGGACTCGGCACCGTTGACCAGAATGGTCCTCGCAGGTGAAATCTGAAGCGGAGGACGAGCATCGACACCCGTCCATGCCATGTTTCTTCCTTGGGATTTGTGTCATCGGATTTCTGCAGCTATTGAGTAGGCCACTGGGGGTGCACATGGAAGAATGCATCAGTTCCAAGAATGCAGCTGGTACGCCAGTTTATGTTATGGGGTGAGGACAATGTTCCAGGGGGATGGCTTCCAGAGCAGCATGCCGCACCCTCAGCAGTTGCTCTGAACCTTTGGTGAGAAGCTCCAGATGCCTTTCTTATCTTTGGACTCCGAGGTGCATGAAAATCCCAGACAAATGATGCTAGGCTGCAGGCGCAGATGCAGTCCATGCAATGCTTGGTGAGTCTCAAGCATGCATTTCAATTGGGTCTTCCTGCTCTTTCTCTCAAATGGTGTTGCCAGGAAGGGTGTGCAGTGGTTCGGCAACGCCGCCAAGTTCCCGTTGTTTCAGGAGTGCCTGACCATCTCTTCACCTACTACTGCTCTTTGTCCGCTTTGTGTTGCTTGTGAGGACAACATCATGGAAGGCTCACTGCCGCTCTGCCCTGTTTAAGAATGCCCCAGGTGTCCTTTATGAGCATGAAAAAGAATCCTGTGTGCTGGGCACTGACGGCAGAGCGCTGTCTTCCAGCAGTATTTGGTTGACTTTCAAAGTTGTTTGCTTAAGGCTTAAGGCCTTCTCCAGTGACACATGTTTTAAACCTCAGATTGTGTTGTATTGGAGGCTACAATGTAAAAGGAAGTCGATCGTGGTGTCCGACCGGACACACACACACACACAACACCTCTCTTTTGTCCAGTTTCACACACACACACCCACCCATGCAAGACGCAAGACATCCCTATACGGAACATGAATGAACATGAAAGAACCGGCGGGTGGGACAAGTCCTAAAGGGCTCAGTACGGTGCGCAAAAGGCGCACCGGAGCGTGAGCAAACCGGACTGCGGCACGTCCCGGAAGTTGAAAGATCAGAACATCGCCCTTTCAAAAAAAGATGTGGTTGGCTTGCAGGTTGAACCACAAACTCCATTTGTTACAATGTAAGGCGTGCATGCACGTTTCCGAGACCCAAATGGGTCTGGTCAAGACGGCGTCAGAGTCATTGAATTTGTCCTGCTGTTTGGGTTGTTGGTCTTGACTTGCTCTCTGTCCACTCAGGCTTCAAGTTTCTGTGGCTGGAATCAACGACACTGGGCTTGGCAGTCTTGTGGATGGTCATGTGCATTGCCTCCCCCCACATGTACTGTGTTCGCGTAGGCTAGAATTTCTGGTGCCGTGGCAGGCTTCGATTCCGCTGTGACTACCACTTGAACCGCCATGGGGAGATTGCGCAGGCCCTGAAGGAACTGACACCGACAGCTTGAACATCACAGCTGGTTTTCGAAGTGCTCACGCTTGGCGACGCCGCCAGGTGAAAGTGTGGTTCCTGCCTTCCCCCCTGAACTTCGAATATGGCGGCGAGCAAACCATTACGGAGCGACGTGCACAGGTTCCTCAAATTCACGTAAGCTTCCCAAACAATGTAGGTTGTGTCAGGCCATCGCTAGTAGTTATATAAGTTTCCCAACAATCTAGGAACCAAATCATAAAGCCGGAGCCCCACTTGCGCCCGAAGGGCTTAGTAGCTACTTGTTCTCGCAACTACTCCTAACTCCTGATCAACCAAACTTGTTTGCCTCCTCTTACTGGCGTAGCCCGCCTCCTACTGGGCAAAAAAGGAAGATAAACAAACAGCAGCGGTGTTGGGCCCGTCCAGGAGTCAGATCTTTGGTTCGAGCCCTTGGCCCAGTGGCCAAGACCTCATCGGAAGAAGCGATTGATTTGTTGACATCACTATGCATCAACCGTTAAAACACCATAAAGAAACTTGATGTCATTGTTTGTTTCCCTTTTTTTTGAAAACTACATCTATATCTCATAGATGTTAGAATTGCTTGGTTTGAAACATGTCTTTCTCCGCCTGAGAAGACCCGCGCTTTGGCTGAGGTGGGAACCGCGATGCCAGGACAAGAAGATGAGATCGCTCTGGGTGTAACGCCTCAGATGGGAGATCGCTCTCGGTGGAGCTTTTCACTGGTGATCCGGTGGCTGATCGGCGATCACCTGGCTGATCCGGTTGGCGGTTTTGGCAGGAAAGCATGTCGTGCAAACGCACGGGCGTGATCGCCGGACGTACTTATGGTGATTACAAAGGAATTATACAGTCATGCGGCAGTGCTTCGGGCAGTGCTTCGACAACGGAGTCGAACGGAGGATCAAAGTTGTGGCATGTCCGTCAAAAGGTTTATTAAATGTGGCCTACTCATCCAACAGAGTCATAGAGTAGGTCTAGGTCCAGGTTACAGGGCAGTTGTTCATTCTCGTCTTCAACGCTTCTTGGGCGGCCAAGCTTGCTTGGATCAGTTTGCATTCCAACACGGGCGGATTCATGTCTCAACCGCGCACCCAAGGACAAAGCACAGGGACAAGAACTCTCAAGCATTGAACACACTTTCTGACGGTTCTTGAACCGCCCTCCACTCTGCACCCAAGATCTTCCAACATCTTCCAAGCCTTTTTTGTACATCTTCCAACATGTAAATGGTTTACATAGTGGTGATCTCGGCACAGGTTCCAGCTGTCACACTGTACACCTGCGATGATGTGGTCACAGTGGCGGCCCAAGGAACGACCGACCGCCGACCGACCGCATCAGCTACACACGGGCAGAATGCGAAGTAGGAGGCAATGCATGCATAAGTAGAAGGCCTGATTTGTGATGACTATGAGAAAATGCAAGAGAAAAGGAGAAACAGGGTGTTTGGGCGCCTTTAACAAGGCCCTTTAGGCCTTATCTAAGGGGCCAGAGCACCTCCTTTTCCTTTTTTCCTGTCAATTCGACATGTGTGTTTTTATCTTTTCTTATCAATGCTGCAGACTAGGTTGCATGGAACGGCCCAGACCCTTAGCCGCCTGCAACCCAGTTTTGCCAGGAGAAGCCCCTTGATAGCGTTTTGCTACGAATATTGGATAGGCTTCAATGCATTGAGGAATTGCTCCGATCCATTTGTGTCCATTTGTGTCCTTTCGTCGAGGGCAAGGGCCCATGACAAAACTGATGTTAACGATGCAAGACGGCTGCGCAGGGATAGAAGAGTGAAGCGTCAAGCGTTGATTCGCTCACACCCTCAAGTGAAAGGCTTCCGGCACGTGTGATTCCAATGTAGCATGGTGCCCGGAGACGATAGTGATGGTGATGCAGGTTTTCATGCGAATTGCACCTATTTGAATTCCATGAATTTATGTTTTGATATACAGCCGATAGAAGGTTGTCTGCAGAAAGATCGACTATCGCCGAGTCATGAGCCCTACTGTCGGATGGGCAACCTAACGTCTTGGGACTTCGGTCTCTATTTTTCTCAAGTGGGGATGTGCATTCTTGTCTGAGAATCGTGAGAATGAGACTTTCGGAAATCATCGTTCTTCTCTCCGGTTTTTTTTACGCCGTTGGTAGGACACTTCGTCAAACGCCCATTTGATAACTCAAGGTTGTTGCAGCCTAACATTTGTTGTTTATATACAAGATGGAGCTCGATTCACAGGATGTTTCTAGATTCAGCTTGCAGCTTCCTACAGCCTTCTCCACTTTTCCAAGGTGCGACACGGATTGGGTGACGAGCGAAAGCTTCTGCAGCGGAATTCAGCGGTCTTGTGACAGTCAGAGTCATTGTGACTGCACCGAGCAGGAATGTGAGAGGTGTAGACTTATATACAGCTTACATCATTTTACACAGTAACAGGTTTCATTACGCAGGCGATAACTTGCGAATGTATGATTAGCATTGTACATTTGTTCGAATGGTGGTTGATCATCACCCAAGATATCAGCAAACGGTTTGTGGACAATGACAGCTAGATGGTGCCAGTCATCTTGGGCGCTGCTACATCCAGCGGAAAAATCTGAAAAAGGATGCCAGCGAATCTGCCCAATCCAAGCCTTCCCGCTGATTGTTTGCCTGGAACCTGACAGGAACAGCGGGATGTTTTCTTTCACGCTTGGGTGGCGCGTGAAAGGTCGTGCCCCCGCAGTACTGAGATACCAGTTGAGGAGCGCATGTTGCATGCCAGGTTCCTTTGGTTCTTTCATTACTTGGTTATTTATATACCTTTTCATGTGCAGTACGGTCAAGTGGCATTTTTGTTGACTGCGGGGCTCTGAACAGTGTCCGTGACTGCGGTGTGGAGCGGAGTTGAGAGACTCCGAACAAACTCCGAAGGACGCTGTGGCGCACAGTGGGAGCCGCTGTGGCAAGCGCAACATGCTGTGGCGCTGTAGGAATGGCTGTAGGACATGTCCTTGAGCAAGGTGGACAAATTCTTGGTTGCACGTGGGAGGGCAAGGCTAGTTGCGTAAAGAACCGCCAACAGTTCAGCTCATTGCCAATTTATCGGTGACAGGATGACAACAAGACAACCTTTGAGACAGTTCAGGCTCAGGCTCGACACTTGGTGGCCTAGTCGTGCTCTACCTAGCCACTGGTCCCAGTTCAAGAGGACAGAACAAGCTAGAAGCCGGGAGTGCATTTTGAATCCCACACTTTGTACATAGGAGCTTTGTGAATTCATGCCGCATAGAAGCGAAAAGGTACAGCATCTCGAAACCTTTGCGCGCCAAGCGGTGTGGTCGATGTTTTTTACATGTCAATACAGTGCCCCGAATCTCCCGAATCTCCTTCAGTCCTTTGCCTTTGAGATCGGTCCGTTCAACCCCCAAAGGCGTGTGACGTCCGATGCATGCGAGCAAGATGAAAGAAGTTGGTCACCTTGCTCTGGGGCAAAAAAGAACGGGGTTGGATGATACTTTTACATAGCTCAATGTTCAGTTTTGCATTTTTGTTTTAATTCAAGACAACGCCATTTCGAACGATTCGGGGCAGCTGTTCTGTGGGGTTGAGAGCTGCAGTCAAAAGCACTCGCAGTCTCATGGGGTAACCTGGCTTACCCATGTGAACCAGGTCTGCCAGCGGGTCACAAGCAGAGAGACAGCATCACAGAGTGAGATGAAGATCAACATCCTCAGGCTTCAACTGCCCCAGCTTCTCTCTGGATTCAGCTGTTCGCTTTCTGCGGTCAAAACCTGAGGCTTGGACAGTGGCACGGTTTTGCGGAAAAAACAAAGACGTATTTTGGAGACGCTGCTGCAGGACATTGGTTTCCCTGCGGCAATTTACCGGCCAAATCTTTGTTGTGCTTCTTTCTTGGTGGTTCTGAAGGGGTCTTGAACTCGAGCATAGCGGAGCAAGCTTTGTAACGAAGGTTTTTCGGTCACGGAGCATGACGCCACTTCTGAAGTTGGAAGAGCCACCAAGAAGAAGCTGCTTCTCCAGCGGCAGGAGGTCTAACACACGCAGAACACATGGCAAAGACCTGTACTGATGATTGAAGTAAGCTTCTTGTTACTAGTAGCAAAAGGAACCTAATAGGAATGGCCTCCACCCTAATAGCGATGGCCTTCACCTAGTAGCTTCTAGCTACTAGTAGCTTCCTTTTCGCATGTTGTGATGCGACAGATCGAAGTTTACTGCGCTTTCTGTCGCTTTTGTCGGCTCAGAGAAGAGGGCTCCGTGGTACGAGCTGTGGTACTGACTGGTACTGTTGCCTCAGGAGAGAGGGCTTCTTGTGACGGCCCCAACCTAATTGTATCATGCTTTACGCCTCATATTTTTCCATGCCTATTGCAGCTGCGAGTTTGCTTCGCTTCGCTTCACGCTCTGGGGTTCTTCGTGTATGGAGCTCATGGCTCTCATGATCCAGATGTTTGGCCCGAGCTTTGGTGTGATCAAACACTTGGTGCTCAAATGGGAGGTGAAATGAGGTGAACAGCAAACGCAGCAGCAGTCACATTGTGGGCATGTGAGATGTGGGCATGTGTTGGTTTGCTGTTTGTTTGCCACTGCTCTTCACCACTTATTCCCTGACACCTGACAGAGCCGAAAAGCGGCGAAGGACGAAACGCTGCGATGCTGCTGAACCGAGTGCTGGCCTGTAGGATGATGCCCAAGGCAGGGTTCCTTGAAAGGGTTCTCACTGGGGGTCGGTCGCAATTCTTTCACATTCTTTCTTTTGAAGGGCAAAACAGCTAGTGAGTAGCGTTTTGAAGCGGCACACTTCCTTGGAGCCATCGAACACCATCGCCTGGTCCAGGCGATGCAGGCTGGTGCACGTGGCTAAGCTGCAGATAGCTTTAGACCGGGTAACCAGATACAGATTGTCTTTGTCAAGCACATGCCCTTGAGCAAAGATGGAGGAGGACAATGTGGCGCCTTTCATGAACATGACTCAGAGATCCCAGGAGCAAAAATCTCATGGAAAGCCTCAACTTTGATGACATGGAGGCTCCCTGTTCGACTTCTTTTTCATCAACATCTTATCTTGGTTTCTGGGAACATTGGCAAACTCTCCAATCTCCCTGTTTCTTCCCAGCCTTTCATGATTAATGACCTAAATGCCCTCGGTTGGGCGTTGAACGCGGTGCGTTCTCCAAGGCTTTGAAGTGCAGAACTTGCTGAAGGCCCCGACCACTTCGCGCTGCTTCGCCTCCAGCTCGGCCGGGGAAGCCCAGAAGTTTTCCGCTGCCAGGATCAGGGGATTTCGAAGTGATGAGAGGTTCTGCACAAAGAGCTCGAAATGACCCAAAATGATAAACATGGCCCAGCCTCACCAGAAAGCTCAGGTCACTTTCTTTTCTGGATCACCTGGACCACTTTTTGTGCAGCTCACGGAAAGATGCCTCCTCTTCTCACCGCCCCGGGGGCACTCCGAAGCCCCTCCGTTTCACCGCCTCCGCTCAGGTGGCGCCGTCCACCCAAGCGTTGGCGTTGAAGTTGTCGCCTCCAGCGACCAGCCTCCCGCGGCAGGGCTCCCGCATTTGGTACAAGGTGCCGCCCGGGGAACCCAGCAGCCGACGAGGGCCGGCGACGGAGGGCAGAGGTTCTTTGGTCCAGGGGCGAGTCCAGACCCTAAGGGAATGGAGATGATTGGAGAATCTTGGCACCGGATCAGTGAAGGATTCCAGATATCAGCTGGTTTCTATCCCCTCCAAGCTTGGGCTATGAATTGTGCAAGTGGCATCGACTTTGGCTTGACTTTGCAAAGGAACTTCTATCCACTGATGCTTCTCCTCCCCTGAAAGACCTCACAGCTTTCGTCCCGTCGTTCCGCCGCGTCCGTCGTTCCGCCCGTTTCCGCCCGCCGCACCGGAGTCGAGCTGAGGGGCTGGAACTCGCCGAAGGCCTGGTTCCTTTGGCTGGCCTGGTGGACCACCTGTGCTGGCGTCATGCAGGACTTGTTAGGCGCGGTGGAGGGTTTAGGGTTTAGGGGTTGTCCACGAGAGCGGCGAGGTATGAGACGACGTCGAGTTGTGAGACGGGTCATGCGGTTGACGGGTACATGAGAGGTCAACAAGAGGTACTGGGTCAGCATCGCATTGGTGAGTTCTTGCTAGCACGTCCTCGGGGGGTTTTGACGAGTCAGAGAGTCAAATTGGTCCTTTTCAGAGAGTTGACTCTCAGCTGCAACAGCAGGTTTAAGCACTTGACTTCTGTGTTTCCATGTTCAGCACCCGACCGGTGGTCCCGGAGGCCCTTATGTCTTCTTCCACGAGCGACCGCAGTGAGCGACACCGGAGTCGCAGCAACCAAAGCGGGTGATTTTTTTTGGAAGCGAAGCTGGTCCGCTCCAGCATGAGAAAGGAGTAACAATGTTACAAGGAGTCCTAAATCTTCCGGAGATTTCAAGCACAGCACATTCACGTTTTTGTTGTCGTTTTTTTTGGTGGTCAGACTGATCATTTGTTTGAGAAAGGAGTGACTGCTTGATGGAATAAATGGCATCCATTCAAAAGGGTGAGGTGATCATTGTGTTACATTTGACTAAGCCATGCGCCCTAGTGACACAAGTGAGTGTATTGTGTGAGTAGTTTGTACAATTGACACCAAATCTGGAGAAGGAAGGGGCACATGCTGAAATCAGTTCTTGTTTCGCACGATTGACCGAGAGAGGTTGCAACTGCTCGATGCACTTGGAAAAGCAGCACAAACGCAAACTCTCCCGTTTTGACAAAGGCCTTAGCATTGGAAAACTGCCATCAAGTTCATCAAGTGAGCACCTATCAAAAACCGTCAAAAACGATAGGGTCGGCGACAAAAAACGATACTCTCCATACTCCCCCTTGCAATGTCCTTTACCATATGTAAGAGGTTTAGATCGCTCAAGTGACATCAGCATAGTTGGGGATAATTTATATCGGACTGGCTGCCTTGAGATGGTTCGAGCAATCACCTGCACGTCGCCCGCAGCCTTGAAGGAGGACAATCTTGAGGGACACCGTGATCTCCCAACAGATCAAATGATAGAAAGCATCAGAAGTTGATGCAGTACTGTGGAATTTGTGTTCACATAGTTTCGGATTGTATCAGAGCAAACCGCCACACGGATTTGTACTTCGAAGATCCCAGAGCAACCAATAAGACTCATCAACGTCGACCTGTGAAGCAGACGTCGCTTGCGCGACGTTTCGGGTCTTCGCAGCGAACCGTCGCGATGGGCGGCTGCAGGGGATGCGGATGAGGTGGAGCACCGAAACACCGAAACCGGTTGTAAACGGTGGAGCAAAACGATCAAATGGTCAAAGCATGTCAAAGCCTTTTTCATTCCTTTTGGTCCAGATAGCGAGAGCTAGTGGGGTTCTTGCTTCGAATATGTTTTCTTATTTGGGGTCTATGCTAGCGTGATCGAATCTTTTTCCCCTTTCCCTCTTCCGGGCTGAGGTTGTTCGGGGGGAGTGTTCTCGAGATGACCCCCGAGGTCGCAGTGGACGGAAGCTGCAGTGGGACCGGAGATGACCGGAGAGCGACGACTGCGATGTGTCAGCCAGCCACGTCTTGAGCAGAAATGCATGTTCACAAGCCAAAAAGCATGAGTGTCCCTCAGACCAAAGGATAAGTCTTTAATGTGAGATCAGAAGAACCCTGTACCACAAGTTTTTTCAATTGTTTGCATCCTTTTTGCTCTAGCTGTCCTATAGGACTCATAGGGTTTATCATGGGACGAGCGGATCATGTCGAAGACAGAAGACGCTTTGGCTGAGACCGAATCCTTGCCATTGGTACAAACTCCTTCTGAATGGTTGCAGGAAACAAACCCTCCATTTACCTGGCTTTGGGAAGACAAAAGCTCTGAGCAACCGGAGTGGCGCCCCTTTCGCCGATGTGATCAGAAACGCCTTGAGGCAGCCGAGTTTCTGAAGAATACCGAGTTCGTTCACGTGGAGGGTGGAAGGTGGAAGGTGAACTTGAAGGAACGTCTCCTCGTCGACAGCTACGGAAGTGATCCACCTCTCAAGCGCTGTGCTGTGCGGCGTGCTCGTTGGTTTCTGCGTCCCAACACGGTGAGTTTCGTGCCCTATGATGAGCAAGTGGATCATTCAATCGAACAGACCTACCAGGAAATCATAGCACCCACAGGCAGCGCGCCAGTTGAGGGAGCAGAGATTCTGAAGAAGGTGCCTCTGGAATCCGGTCGGACAGTTGCTCTCAAGATGAAGTACAAGTCCTCCAAGTGGCGTGTTTCGGCGGAGGAACGCGCGACCTCCGGAACCTCTTGGGTGGCTTATGCCCAAGCGGCACTTGAGAGAGTCTTCCAACTGCAAAGAGGATTTGGAGAGGTTCAGATACAAGCGGGTGAAGCAGAGGAGGAGATCCTAGGGAACGACATTGGACAGGTCATCATTTTGGTACATGGCATTGGGGAGAAGATGTGGAGCGAGGAAGGCCGCTAAGCTCACTCCAGCTTTTGGCAAGTCTTAAGGGATGGGCCGTTTGTGTGCTCATATATAATCATATACTGTATATTTTATATTCATATATATCATATCATCATATCTTTATTATTCTTATTCGTTTGGAACTGGAGGACATACGGGACCGTTGCATCTGCATAAGGAAATCGCTCCACACCCAAAGAAGTGAAGCGCTGTTGATGTTTGTGTGCACAGGTTGTCCAGCCTTGTGTGACACTTTCTTTTTTAATGTTTTTTTTGATCAGGACACAGAAATTGGTTTGCACCCGCCCACCCACCTGGGGTGTGGTGATGAAGCGCGAAGAACCTCCTCAAGCTATTATCCATCCCAAGTAATGGTTCATCGAGGGATTTCCAGACTTGGTAGCAGTCTGACCAAAAGCCGGTGGGAGATTGGGGGGAGGGAGTGGATCCTGTGCACAGTGTGAGGGATACTAGCACAGCCAGAGATTCGTCATCACAATCGGAACCGTCGTTCGTCGGGCCTCTTTTTCCAAACGATTCTTTGCTCAGGTATATAAGTTATATATTGAATGAATATGATGTAAGGGTTTGCGGATTCCTCAGCCCGACTTTGGCTGACTTAGGTGGCTTCTGACTCACAATCCAATATTTGATCTCCTAGGTTGTGGCTTGGCCTTCTCCTCCGGAATTTTCCGGCAGCTCGTCCACGCGAAGCAGCTGAAGAGCGCCGGATACGAAAAGAGGACGGACGGCAGCTGGGTCTACCCAGGCTGCTTGGCTGCTGGGTCTATCCGCGGTTTCTGGCGGTTTCTGGTCTTCCTTACGAGCAAGAAGGGCAAAGTAACTGATGGACACAGTGAGCCAATGATTATAGTAACAAGTGCCTTACTAGTAGTAACAAGGACGCTACTAGGGGCTCCTGGCATCGCTTCTAGTAACAAGTGCCTTTCTACTAGTAACAAGAAACTACTAGGAGTTCCTCCTCATCTGTTCCTGAGCCCCTAGTAGCGATGCCCTTGTTACTAGTAGCGATGCACCAACGCTGAATGCCTTTGAAAATCCTTTGAAAGGCACAGATAGGTCACTTCTTCCGATTGGGTCAGGGCTTGCATTGCTGCATGGCCGAGTGCATCTCCTTTGAAAGGGTGATAGATTTTCAACTCAGGGGAGTCTTTTCTTGGTCCGTTGTGGTGGACATCTGTGGGCTGATTGCATGGGTGAACCAAGCTTTCTGAAGGCTGAAGCCATTCCTCAAGACTTGCAACAGATCAATTCGTGAATGGAAGCTCCAACCCATGAAGCTGGATTGAAGAAGGTCCAGCAATGACCCTGAGATGCTCTTTTCCCCGGCTCTCCCAGTGATGGTCGGAATCCCAGGGGTCCTTCACCGTCGCCGCCGAGTCGCCGAGTCGCTTGTTCAGGTGAAGGGACTCCCAGCTTGAAGAAGGACGAGGTCTTAGAAGCCTCCTGGTGGGAGACCATCCACACGGATGAGATGGATGCACGACTCCAACGGATCAGCCTGCCCACCATGAAGCAGGCGAGCCGGCGATTAGAAGCCTGCCTGACCCACGGCGGAACACCGGACCCAAGAACGGACCGTTTGAGGCAGGAAGCGAGCAAGCCCAGGTTTGTGGGGGGATGTGAATCCAGGCGAAAAGACATGAACGCATGATCCAAAGGGGAACACAGCCAACAGGGAGAAGCATGCCATCCTAACAGTGTGCAGACCTTTTTTTTAAAGGGGGAGATGTTCCGTTTCCAGCACGTATGTACCAAGCAGAGTAGATCTGGCAGTGGACCAGGTTCTTCCATGTGGACTTTGAGCTCTCTTTTTTCAGAGCGACACAGGTGCGACAAATTGCGAACTTTACCGTCGTCGACGGCATTTACTACATGCATCCCAAGCACCAGGAGACTGGGACACCACGTTTGGACGGCCTTTTGGTGCTTTTTGGGTTCCTGGCGTCAGCCTTGGCATGCCGTACCGTTGGTTGTATTCAACAAAGCCTGTTATTTTCCAAGATGGTGCAGCATAAAGCACAACCTGTCGGTCTCTACAACGGGTCCCCAAAATGCAGGGAGCATATTATCATGGACACACTGCCCGGAAGTCTTGCGACCAAAGTTTGGAAAATGCCGTCGTGAAGTTTATTTTTTGCACATCGTGCACCGTGGTCGACGATCGTTGGGTAATGAGACAGATGGAACGTATGTGAAGTAATCGGGACAAAGATCCGGCACAACGATCAATGACTTCACCTTGCAGGAAATGAGCTCACAGATCAAACAGCTATTGATATACAATTGGAAAACTATTCATGATACAAAACCCTTTCTGCAAAAGAAACAAACATCGTTGGTGATACAATTGATAGTAGAGGTCCAATCGTCCCCTCTTTGACTCGGTGGACTCTTTTGGTCACAGGAGAAGATTCTGGAGGCGGTATGCAAGGCCGTGGAGAATGCCTTCCAGCGGTTTTTGGAGCATCACCCAAGCTACCAGGGTCCAGTTGTCTTGGCTGGAGAGGGTGAGAAACTGAGGGGATATGACACACAACCAATTTTGGAGAGATACAATAGAGCTTGGAGTGTTTTCATGTCAAACTTCCTTAAGCGAATCCAACCAAGGGTCTGAGGGAAGATGAAAGGGCATGTAAATGCAACCCATGCGCGAAAAAAACACATTGATGAATATTGGCCATCAACACCAAGACATTGGTCGTCATCATGGATTTGTCATTGCTTTCAGATGCTTTCAGTAGATTACCTGAGAGGACATTCTTTGGGTGGCGCAATTCTCTTCCATTTGCTTCGCTCTGGAACCCCCAAGCTGAGCTTCACTCCTTTGGCTCTTTTCACCATGGGCTCCCCCCACCGGGCTCTTCGTCCACACCAGCGACGACGTGCCCAGCAGCTCCTTTGCTCTACCGGGAAACACGCGGTTCTTCAACATTTTCCATCCTATGGACCCGGTGGCTTATCGAATGGAGCCCTTGATCGAGGGAGACCTCGAGAAGCTCGACGCGGAGAAGATTCCCGTGGAGGGACTCTGGGGTGGGATGAAGGTCCATCATCAGTTCGAGCGCATGTACAAGGGAGTCTACAATTGGACCAAGGGAGAGGCCTGGACGTGAAACGAGACCAAAGCTCTCTGAACGTTTCTGTAAACAACTCTCTCCGATATCGCAGATAAAAGATGGATTGTGATCCCTATTGCAACATAGTCCTAACATGTCCAAGCATAGTCCTATTTTCATTCTAACATATTCCTAACAACCCGTGGCCGCCTTCGACGCTTCAGCCGCCAACTGTTCCGCCAACTCTCCGCTTCCTCTCGCCGCCCGGAGCAGCGTCCTTTCGTTTCGCTCCAGGAGAAGAAGCAAGATGAGCTCCGGAAACTCTGTGAAAGCATCGCGCTCAATGGTGGAGATCGGATCGACTGGGCGCTGCAAGAAGATATGACCCCATGGCAGGTGGCGGGAGTGGCGGGAGAGTTGAGGCTCGGTGCGAGAGGTCTGGCAACGTATTGGCTGTGAGTTCTTCTTGTTTTTCCTCTCCCTTCTGTTGGGTGTGTGGGAGATTGACCCCAAAGGCTCATATTCTCACGTTTCTATTTTTTGTTGGCATTTATATATATATGTTGAATGGTCTGAAAAGGTCCAAGAGCCCCTTGCCAAAAAGCAAGGTGGAGGGGGTGGCCTTTTCAACCCTTCTGACTCGTCCGCTTCTTTTGGATCTGCAGAGCTGAGGATGCAGGCTCTGCCCAGCCATTCTTGCTACATGAAGAGCGAAGATGTTGCCGCTTTTGTGCAGTCGAAAACTACATTGCTGGCAGTTGCCAAGGCCGCAAACAGCAGCTTAGCCAAGACACTCACTTGAGGTAGAGGTCTACTGTACTTGTAGGTAAGAGGCTTCAGACTCAGATCAGAGGAATAGCATAACGGCAAAGCTTGAAGGTCCTTAGGATCAGCTATAATTCATCCATCAATGGCATTCCCCCCCAACGCTTGAGTCTTGAGCATGTAGCTTGTTGCTTGCTCTTGCAATGGCCCTGTTTTGTTTTATATAAGTTTTGTGCTTTCTCTTCAATTTCTTTCTGGGAGATCCACACCAGGATCCACACAACTGAAGCTTATCATGACCTTTGCCAAAGCAGTCCTGAGTGACCCCCCCGTGATTCAAACCTGAGGCATCGCTTCCTCTTCCACGTGATGGCGAACACCGCCCTGTCACAGCCCTGAGCCCTGCTGATTGCACTTGAGCGAGCTGCAGTCAAGTCTCCGCAGCGCACATGCGCCTGCGCGTGCCGAGCGCGGAGTGTGTGCTGCGCGGAATGCCAAAGTGAAAGCGAAGGAAAGGACTTGAGCGCTTGAAGGCGCTAAAAGCACCTCAAGATGGTCTCGCACAGTGACTTTTCGCGTAAAGTCAAAAGGGTTCTTCAGGAGATGGGCGGAAGGCCACAGCCAACAGATGAACCTGAACTACTCATGTCATGTTTGAAATGCAAAAAAGAGGATTATCGTTTGTCTTCTCTTCACTTGTTAGGCTTTGTCAAAATGTGGAAGCACAGCTTGCCAGGTGGGGCTGCTGTCCAGATATAGAGCTGCGGCGGAAAGCGTCAAAATGATGCGAGAAGCAGTGTGAGAAGCAGGGGGGACACCAATTCAATGAACATGTTGTACTCCTCATGGGATAACCATTTTTGGGTCTCTTGTTTTCCTCACTTTGCAGAGGGGAGGAGATGGACTGTGCGGGAAGGGCTGACTGTGCGGAACGCCTCTGTCAAGGCTCGGACAGGAAGAGAAGCAACGGAAGAGAAGCACTGGCATAGAGTGAAGCGATTGAGCCCAGCAACGCGCTTTGCATGAATATCGGCAAGGAAAAGTGGCCGCAAGACAACAAAGGCTGCCAACTGTTTCTATCGAGGGCCTCGAACCCCTGCTCAAGGGGCCGTTTTGCTTGTGGGATGAGATATGCCACATGTCGCTTTTGCTAAATGACCCGCACAGCGGCTACACCCGCGGAGCGTGGGAACCAAGAGAGATCCTGCAACAACTTGTGGCTGTGTGAAAACTACCAGTCGTTGCTGTGATGATCTGGATGTCTTCCATCTTCAAACGACAATCAAGATCCGAAGCCCTCTTTCAAGTTACTGGCTCAGGTTACAGGCACTAGACTCACTAAACATAGATGATCTGAAGGGGTGATCGACTTTCTCTCCATTCATTCCATTCAGTGCGGTTCCCTTGGTGCCACGAAGGGAATTTCATGGAATTTCTGCGCCAGGCCGACCCCTCTTTGTCAAGCCTGGCCGTTGAAGGCGCCAACTGGGAAACGGGTGCTTTCTGGAATGTGTCATGGCACTGCTGAGGGAGGCGCTACTTGGAAACAATAACAAAGGTTGGCACTTGACTCATTCATGCCTAAGCCTAAGCCTAAAGTGGGACCAGACAGGTGCAGAGTTTAACATGAAATCTAATCACGTTTGCACACATGGGACTAGCTACTTACTCCGTCTATTCCTTGCCCTTGTGAACAGCAGACAGCCACAGGGCCATCTACGCAATGCGGCAGACAGTACCCCCTGCCATCACTTCCATGTCTTCGGCGTGGTCGGACGTACCACTCCCTGCACCACTGGGTTGAGGCGCTTGTTTGGCCTCAGCCAGAGCTCGCGGAGAAAGGGGTGGTGTGGCCCCCAGCTGTGGTACCGGCCGCTCGGCTGGGTCGGGCTTGCAAGGAATCCACAGCGCGGGCAGATTTGACCCGATTCTTGACATTTCTTTACTCCATATAGACGAATTGAATCATATCTCTTTAAAGGGCTCCAAACGGTCCACAAGCTCAGGTACAAGACATTGCTTTTTTTCTTGCCAAACAAAATGGTGGCTTTGGATCTATCTCTCTCTCTCTCTCTTTCATTATATATATATATACAGGAACAAGAAGCTACTAGTAGCTCCTGGCATCGCTACTAGGAACCTGGGCATCGCTATGTGCGTAGCAAGGGCGGAGACGTATGCGCCGTTTCCTTTGACCCAGGTTGAAGAGGTGCCCAAGGAGGGCCTGGAGACGACCATTTGGGTCCCTTGATTCTGGGCCGATCTCCGGTCCTGGAGGGTGGAGGGTGGAGTGTGAGTGACCCCCAGTGAAAGCTTTATACTATACTATACATGATATATAGTATCATATGCCATGATATAACATATGATATAACATACAGTATGCATTGATGGTTCAGTTGAAACCTGGTTACCCTCACGTGGCTGTTTCTCTTGACTTGTTCCCGTCAGCCAAGGCCCCCTCACCCAAGAGCCTCAGCTCAGCTCACCACACCACCAGGCCAGGCCACCGTGAACGACGGCGACCCGTCTCCGCCGCCGCGGCGACCCGTTCCGCCGCCGCGCCTCACGGTCAGGTCCGTGGTGTCCCAGGAGGACCGGATCGTCCGGGTGTCAGGGGTCGTGTGGAGGTCGTTGTGGACGTGCTCTCCCCTTCTTGTGGAGGCAGAGGACGTCATTCAATTCATGGGAATGTCATGGGAACCCGAGGAGACCTCATCTAGCTACTAGTGGTGATGCCCTTGTTACTATAGTAGCTTCATGTAGCTTCTAAGCCATTGGGATTGTCAAAGATCTTTCTTAATTTTTCGTTCTCCTTTTTTCAAAGGAGGACCAAAAAAGGGTCCCCCCAAGTGTCCAGCTTGGTTTGGGGAATATGAACTGACTGGTGATTTCTGAGGTCATCGACGAGCCGTCAGTGGCTGGCGGTTTGCTGGTGCCCTATGAGGACGTGGCCTGCAAGGATTTTAGCGTTTTCGAGGCCACAGGTGGACTGGAGAAGATCATAGCAGGGGTTGTATACCCGGGAACTCGTTTGGAGTGAAGTTGTTTGCCATGGTGTTGCCTCACATGAACTTGCCAGGATGATGAGACGTGCCTTTTCCTTCTGGGCCCTGCCGAGGCCCTTTTCCCGAGCGTGTCATCACGGAACTTGGGCCATCTTGGGCCTGTCCTCATCCTTGAAGGCACTCGATCCACAGTTTGGTGAGCCATGTGTAGATCGGTCTAAGTCAGTCAACCAAGTGGCTTTGTTTACTGAACTAACAGCGAAGGATGGGGTCCCTTGACCGTCACTTTTGGTGGTTTCGAACCTTTCGTCCGCCCTCCGACGGCAAGGCGTCGAGCCTGACCTCGGATCACTTTGCGTGCGGTCCCTGGTGAAGGTTCCGCAAGTCAAGCAGCATCTCCCTGCAGGCTGCCTCGAAAGCCCTTTTCAAGTGGACACTGTAGCCTTTTCATGTCCATTCCAGCACGGCGTGTGGTTCTGGTCGGGTTTGTGGGCCTGAAGGGATCTGAAGGGGTAGTACTCGTAGTTTGATCATGACCATAGATCAATATGGATTTGTATTCTCATGGGGAGACACCGGACCCCTTCTTCCAGGGGATTTCTTCCTGTTTTGATACACCTCCCAGTTTCGACTCTTTTCAGGTTGAACATAGACCAGGTTCGACTCTTTGAGGTGTCTCCCTATTCATCAAAATACACAGCCATCTCTGACCCAACCTTCGCAGCCTCCAACCTTTTGATGGCCGCCCTGAGCGCAGGGCTTGGTGCATGCGGTGCCACACCCTGAGGACCCTCCGGATCGGTCCAGCCAGTGCGGACGGCGAGATCGTGCGGGAGGAGTCGATCAAGGCCGCGACCCCTCGCGAGATCGGGCGCACAGGAGGGTGCCCAGAGGGCGTCCGAAGGTCCAAAATCACAGGGAATGGGCTCCAGCATGTTTTCGGGCCTGTTGTGTTTTTGAGTCACTGGTGTTGGAACTCCTGGTGCACCTGGAAGATGGACCCTGTCGGTTGAAAGTGATCCCAAATCCGACAGGTCGCTGGCGAGTGGGCTGCGGGCAGCAAATTGGAGTGGGTGCGCAGCATGGGAGACTCGTTAGTCCTTTTGTCACGGCGTGTTGAGCTCCTTCGAGTTAAGAATCAGCGCAAGCACATGGTGGACATGGTGGCCTCCACTTGCTTGTCATGCTTCGGTTTGTGGAACGACATAGTTGGAGCATGGTTGGACCACATGCTCAAGCTGGCCAGGCTCTCCGTGGTCTTCCATTAGCACAGATGGCGTCCAAGAGCCCTCTCGGTGGGACCCCCCACGACACCTGAGAGTGGACGGCAATGTTGGGCAACGTTGGGCAACGGTGATCAGTTCATATTGATCGAGGACACGAATCTAAAGCTTCGGCAAGCTGATATCCAATGGCCTTTTGCTGACAAGAATTGGTCCAGACCCAGAAATACTCTGAGTACGTACGAAGGGAGTTTGGTGGATCGATTCAGGATAAGACCTTGACGATCTCTACTGGAAATAGAGATTCAACTGACA